GCCTAAGAATTTGACTAGAAGGATTCCCCCTAACCATTCCTTGACTGGGGTGAGACTCGCACCATGACCACCTCCCTTTCATCTGTACAGATAACATCTCTAATTGGCAAATAGTCATGCGCCGAGCCTACCGGACTGCCAGCCTGCTCTAACCCTCCCCTATCCCCTTGATCATCAGCACAAGGGGACATAAACCAATGAGGAACTACAAAATTCAAAACAAACCCCCCAACCACCAGGGGTGGGGAGCCTCTATGTATCCCCACCCCTCCCCCCATCTCTATCCCATAGCCCCTTCACTGCACTCATCTTCTAAGATCTGCCTCCTATTTACTAATTACCCTCTACCAATTGCCCTCTAACTGGGGCCCAGGTGTCTCTTTCTCTAATCCCCTCAAACCACCCCTCTATGTTAACTTTCTGTAAGTCCAATTTTTCACAAAAGTCATTGTAGTCTTCTGGGAATCTCAATCTTGCCGATCTTCCATCTCTCCATCCGACCAAACAAGAAGGAAATCTCCAACTATATCTGACATTTTTCTCTCTCATATGGATTAGAAGTGGTTTAAGGGCTCTCCTTCTCGCCAATGTCTCTAGGGAAATATCAGCATCAATTTGTATGACTGAATCTTCACATTTTATTTCCGGAAAATCCCGCAACCCTTTCCAAATCTGGTCCCGATCTCCAATATCCTGAAATCTGGCTATCACGTCTCTGGATCTTTCTGCTGATATACCCTTTGGCTTTCTGACCCCATATACTCTGTCCATTGTTATACAATCTGTCTCCGGTCTTCCCATAATTGGGTTGCAAGTTCTTTTCATTTTCCCCAGCAAGTCTTCCTCTTGTCCTTTTTCTTCCGGAATACCTCTAAACCTCAAATTAGTCCTTCTACTGTGGTTCTCCTGATCTTCCATTTTAAATAATACTTCTCTCATTTCTAATCACCTCTCTTCTATTTGCATTTCTAATCTCTCAATTTTTAGTGTGTGTTCCTCTACTCTTTTCTCCGACTCCTCCAAACGGGACAGTACATGACTCAGATCGTCTCGGAGGTTCCCGATCTCCTTGACAACCATCTCCGATTTCGTGAACATTTCTATCAAATCCTTTTTTGAAAGGGTATGTACTGAGGACCATTCCTGTTCCACTTTTCTTTGTTCCCCTCTCCTCTCTGAAATTGGGCTTCCTTTTTCTTGGACCTCCTCCATATTACCAAGTGACAGTGTTGATTGATCACCTCTCATGTTTATAGAGCACTCGCCCTGGTTCTCTTGATTTTGCGATTCTGGACTTTTTCTCCCCTGTGCCGGCATATATTTTTTTTTATCATAAGGGAGTTTGCATTGATTTCTATTTGTCAGCTACTTTTGTAATTGTTTTATATTATCCAGTTCTAACAGATCAGTCCAGAGAGTATCAGGTGAAATTTTGGTGGAGTAGTTCTTGGATTATTTATTTATCTATTAATTGTTATCATCCTTGAGTGACACTGGTCGGTCCCGTGACATGGATCTTGAAGTATCAAGTGGCCTTGCAGAGGTTTTTTTTTTTTTAGAAGGTTTAATAATTTCTTGAAATAAATATTTTTCGAACTGCAAACATGCTCCTATCACAATTTCTGGATCTTCTTTTTTTTTTTGATGGCCTAGAAATGTTGCACTGTAGGAACAGGAATGAGATACAGAGTTGTATCTGAATGGAGCTCATGAAATTAGACAGTGTGAAGGTCAGCACCAGAGGATATTGTATCAATCAATGTATCAATTGTAGCTTAGCTGTTAATGGAGAGCGGAACCCAACTGTCTGGCCAAGGACGGTATGAGAGGGCAGATTTAACATTATCTTCAACAGCTGCTCTATTAACAATGTAAATGTAACAGGTCGTTGATGTTCATTTAGATTCAAATGAATATACGCAATGTATTGGCAAAGTGTCTCATTTTCTGCTTACTATTTCAAATTTAACACCGGACAGATACAAAACACTTTATGGATAAATATATAGAAAGTGCAGCGCTAAAATAAGTGAATGATATTATAGTGAAAATAAAGTGCAATGTCAATCTGACATATAGCGAAAAAATGATCAGCAGAACAGTTAAATGCAGCATATAAAATCAAATGTAAAAATTGTTCAATAAATCATTCAATAAATGTGAAACAGTAAAGTGCAGCATAAAAGTGAGAATTATAAAGTCCATGAAATATCAGTGGAGTAAGAGCTATAAATTGTCCGTAAGGATGTTAGTACGGCAGTCACGGTGAAATACTGTGAAGTGATCCAATAGGGAATCCACCATCTCTGTCAGATGTACACTCACCAGACATCTACTGGTAAACAGCATGTAAGCACATCTCATCTGGGCACAGGTAACAGCAATGAAGCCTCTGCAAGGGATGTTCAGCCAAGGGCAAAAAACGCAAGTGGACCTTCTCCTATCAGGAATAGCTCACCACAGGAGTCAGAAATTGTATATAGTGTAGTATTTTATTAAATAATGAATAAAAGACAATCCACGTGGAAACAAATTAGAATGAAGGTAAATGGAGTACCAAGATGGCTGCCGTTCCGAACTTCAGCAACGGCAGCGTGACGTCAGCAAGTGCGGCTCGACCTGATGCGTTTCATGCGCATGCACGTCTTCAGACAAAATTGTCTGTGCTACGTAAATAAAGAATATAATCTGCCTTGGAACATAACTAAACTTAACTGTTGGATGTGGAAAAATACTGATGGTTTTCGATGTACTTTGCTATATGTGAATCTTTGTTTGATAAAGGATTTTTGTATAAGTTAGGGCCTTGTTTCTGACCTATTGCTGCCTTGATGAGTTGGAAGCAGTAAAGCTCACTGACATATTACTTTGGTAAAGATCACTGCATTGTCATCGTGATTGAATATATTGATTGCTTTCTTTGTTCGTGTATTTACTGTGAGTTTTGCTGACATAATCAATGCCTATTTCATAAATGTCCATAAACATGAGTGAAAACACAATATAAAAACCCTGCAAACCTTTTGAAAGTATTTTTCATTGACATCCTTTAAAGTTAGAAAATATGAAAATTCATTTTTTCCAAGCTGTCTACATTGGAAGACTTGGAGAGTGAGCAGTAAAAGCTTAAAAACATAAACATAAACCTATGAGAATCGGCTGCCTGGCAGTATCGATAGTAAGCTACCTACAGACATTATTGATTCAACCAAGGATCATTCAGTCATATGATGAAAGGATAAGATCCAACCATCAGGTGAAAGTTATTATTATTATACAGGATTTATATAGCGCCAACAGTTTGCTCAGCGCTTTACAATATAACGGAAGACAATACAGCAACAATACAGTTCAATACAAGAGGGATAGGAGGGCCCTGCTCCTGAGAGCTTACAACCTAGGAGGGAGAAGTTGATGCTCATGGCTATGGAGAGTGAGAGTGTGTAGCCGACACTGGAGGTGCTGGTCTCTGTCAGTAGTAACATCCGCTCCCCAATATAGATCTAGGCACATGGATTTCCCCCATAGTTGGTAGATGGCTACAGAAATAAAATATTTCCTAATCCATCTATCATTGTCATCGTGAATGCCAGGATGTTAATCACTGCCTATATATTTTTTTTTAGTTAGGCAAAATAGAAATAGCGAATGTAATGTATGGAGAGAGTTGTGAGTTTAATTCATTGTTACATTCTTTATTTATTACATATAGAGAAGTATTAAAATTGTAACTAAAGGCAAAACTTTTTTGGTTTTGGATAGAGTGGAGAGGGATTACAACACTTTTCATCATTTATTGTTGTCTGTGCCCTGGTTAAGGAGATTGGCCATCTCTCTTTGTCCTGTTTATCATTATCATTGAAAGTAAAAGATAACCCAAATTTTGGGATGTCCCTAGAAAGAGTAATAGAAGGGAAATCTTTCAATGTGGGCACTAGTTCTGGTGACCTGGGGGTCCCCAAAGAATTCTCTTAATTTACAGGGATTTCCTTTCACTTCCTGTTTGGCTATGGGTCAGGAGGTGAAGGGAAATCTCCACAATGGGACACAGATAGCGTAAAAAAAAAATGTGAGGTTATAACCCTCCCTTACGCAGAATTGGATTATTAGAATTTGTACTAATATTGTATGTATGAGCTGCTGAGTGCTGTTTTTGGAACATGTGACCTACAACACTGGCAGTTCAGGAAACATGGCAGGTCACATGACCTGTAAGTGGAACACCTTTGGATTTGGTATGTGAATGTATTCACAACAGCTATACCCACTTTCCAATATCTTCTCTTTAAATTTAGATCTGATATAGCACAATTAGGGGAAAAAATGGGAAATACCCCAGAAAGTATTGCAATTTACAAGAAGGGGGTCAGGCTGAGCCCATAAGTATAGTGCTATAGAACAAGAATACATCCAGCCTTTGCATTCTGAATTATTTATGTGTGCAAAAGAATTCAAAAGTGTGTAGAACACTGAGTAGACAAAGGATTAAAATGCAAACCTTCAATATACCCTCAATCTTTGCTACCATTATCCTGACACATCCTTTATTTAAAAATATTCTGTTTAAGGAATGACATCTATAATGTAAAATATATGAATATGACTATGGCATCATGTTCTATATAGTCTGAAAGCCTTATAGTGTACTCGTTTAAAAAATTACATATATTTACTCTATATGCTTGAATATTTGAAAATGCTACGGAAATCATTTGAGGGCTGTAAATTCTGTCCTTAGGGTAAGACAGTAATTAGTAAAAATACAGATTAGAATGTCTGATTGATCTTTACATACTGTCAATATTTCATGTTCCATCCAACTAATTGGATTTGTGTTCCATTTGAGGTCTAAATTAGTTAGAGGCCAGTGCAGACACAGACATTTTCCTCATATTTTTCAAGATTTGATTAATGATTAAAGACACAGACACACATCAAAATTGGGAAAGCTGTTAAACTTGATAGTAAATCATTTTTAATCTTTTTTGGTGTTTTTCCCAGATCCGCAATTTTCTACTCAATGATTCAGAAGATGAGGAGCTAAAAGAAATTATTCGTACATTTTCTGGGGAAAGCAGCAACAGAGCACAAGAGACAAGGGAAAGAATTCTCATAGATCAACAAGTTCAACAGACAAGGGCCCAAGGAGAGCAACAAGAACAGGAACAGTTCCAAAAGGAACAACAACAGCAAAAAGGAGGACTACCACAGGAAAAACCAGCAAAAGCAGGACAGGCTTTACGGAGAACAACAGGAGGAGGAGAGATTAGATAAAGAACACCTAGAAGAAGAAGAAAGGCTCCGTCGAGAGCATCAGGAAGAAAAGCTGCGCAGAGAGCAGTGTGAAGAGGATGAAAAGCTCCGCAGGGAGCAGCAACGTGAAGAGGAGGAAAGGCTTCACAGGCAACATCAAGAAGAGACTCTGCGAAGAGAGCAACAGGAAGAAGAAAGGCAACGCAAGGAGCGTCAGCAGGAGGTTAGGCTTCGCAGAGAGCAGCAAGAGGAGAAATTCCACAAAGAACATCTGGGTGATAAACTTTGGTGGGAGCAGGAAACTGAAAAACAACGCTGGGATCAGCAGAAATATCACAGAGATCAACACGACGAGAAAGCCTTTTATAATGACACCATGCAGCCCCATGTAGAGCCTGAGCTCCTTTCTGTTAGGCACATTAAAGAGGACACTGATGAAGGGAAAGACTCAAGCCAGACCCTTCCTGTTCGGCCTTCAGGGTGGGGCTGTCCACCGCTCGTACCACCTCCAAGTCCTTCTAGACCTAAGAGCCCATGGGGAAGGCTTGACCCTTATGACTCCAGTGAGGTAAAATCCTTTATAATAATTATTCATCACTTTTTTAAGTTGATACAAGCTAAGATCATTGGAAAAACCTAATCTGCTGCAATTCCAGGGCTTTCTGTCCTATAACCACCCTTGAAAATAATGGTTTTAAGCTCTAAACTTAAGGAGCTCATAGACTAGACACTCTTGTGTTGTCCAAGTAGGCATGTTTTTGTTCAGTGCAGACAATCAAACCTACTCAAGAGCACTGAGGCAAAGAAAAAAAATTTACCAGATGACACATTCTACCCCAAGGCTTATCGGCCAGGGGATCTATTCTCAGGTTGGATTGTCCATAGATGTGCAGTTATTTCATGATTCAACAGTAGTTCACCAAGTCATTTACTAATGATCTCATGTTAACAGACTTCTTTTAGAATCCGTTATGTTGGACGACAGCATTCAACATAATGCTGTGCATTGTACATTTCATTACAATGCAGCGTTGGGCTGCCTTTCACAATACATGGCAATGTAATGTACATAAAGCAGGTACATGGCAACACGTTGGCATGCGCTGCCACAATGCACAAGTGTGAATGAGCCAGTATTGCCATATCCCTGTCTGTCCATCCAACATAGACTGCAGAGAAATTTGGACAAAACCAGTGCACTATAACTAAAAAGAAATAATGTGATAATGGTTTTTTGGTTCTTTTAGATAAAAATAGTCTGTCATCGATTTCTGTAAATTTTTTTAGTTTTCTTCTCTATTCAAAAACCTGTGCTTTGCAAATTTTCAAGCTAGCAGTTAGACTTGAGGAGCGCTGCTTGAAGTCCAGTAAACATATAATGCTCTGGAAACTAAAACCGACCTGTTGTGGGCAGGGCTTAAGGGGCCCTAATGGGGACACTAAGAACTACACTCCCTAATTGCCTACACACTAGGCTGGAGTATGCAGTCATGTAGAATCAGCATTAAGACGCAACTTCAGACTTAGAAGTGAGCAACAAATAACACAGTTAACCCTCTAGTGACCCGTGGCTGACTTGTTGTTCTGTTGACACTAAGCACTCTAGACACCACTACAGTTCGAGAACACAACTTCCCAGGTGTGCAGCAATTAGGAACCGGTACCATGGAGCCTGTATCTATGGGGGTCCATCCAGGGGCGTATTTACCACAAGGCAAACAAGGCATTTGCCTAGGTCTGCATTTTTTAGGGGGGCAGCACTGACCCCGGGTGGGGGGTGATGGGGCAGGGGTGTTGTTGGTCGATGTCAGACTCTCTACATCGGGGAGGAGGGGCATCCAATTTTTTTGTTGCTTAGGGCAGCAAAAAACCTAAATACACTACTGGGTCCACCAACCCAGCAATTCCTGTCTCCTCGCTCTCAGTGATATCTTACTACTGGATACAGGGAACAAATGTCTCTCACAAATATATGCTTGTTCTCACTCGGGGGCCCCCTCTACATCTCTTTCTCTCTCCTCTCACTTCCAGGCTAGTTCCATAGGTAAGCTTTGCCACAAATCCAGTCCCAGTATGTGGGGAACCTGTTGCTAGTGAAGGGCAAAGCATAGCACCCCTTCACTACCAGAGTAACCAGTCAACCATTCTCTGGCTGGTTGGCTGCCTTTAGCAATGATACATACACGGTTGGCCATGTAGCCTACACTAGACAGCAAACTACATGCTGGACTAAGCCCTGTTCATTAGATAGACCATATATTGCACCCCTTTGAGAGACTTCAGACCAGGCATTTAAAGGAACAACAGACAGTCCTAACTGAAGTAGTACAAAACATACAAGAACAGATCTTCTAATAACAGCTTCACTTACATTCTTGTGCAGAGGTTCTCTAAGGGCCTATAGGGTGATCACACCTGAGTTAGCAGCCAGTTCATAAGCAGATCTTTTAGAAGCAAGGGTCCATTAAGGCAAATAATCCAGGTAGCCAGGAGTCCCTTTAGAGTCCATGACTGTCAGTAATTCATAAACACAATAAGTCCATAGCTGGCAGCTAGGAGTCCATAAAATCTTTAGGTCCCCAGCCCCACAGAGAACCCCGACTGCCAACCCCCTAATAGCTCCTAGTTATAAGGATCTCTAGAAAATTGGCGGGAAAATCTAGTCAATAAATTCCTCAGATCCACTACACATCTACATTGTATTAAACTGTGCTGCATAATTATAGTGCAAAGATTAAGGAAATACCAAAGAAACTTTTTGACATTAAAAAGAAATATATATATACAGTATGTAGCTCATAGTCCAAGTGATGATCCCATTCTTCAAAGAGAAATCAAATAAATCAGTGCATCCTACACCAGTGTAATAAACCATCACCAAAAATGAATGTATGGAAACTTATCAGACTTCCATAACCTTCTAAATGAATAGAAATGTCATAACTGGCATAGATAGAAGCTCCCTTGCACACTGTAGGACATACAATGTGATCATAGATCAGATGTAAAACCACCCAAAGATGTCAGATTGTTCTCACATTAAGGGTAAAGAGGACCTCAAGGCCGGTTGACAGGATTTCCTCTGATGCCAAACTCCCTTGTACTTGCGATTCAAGAAAAGCATAAAAGGAGACCCATGCTCCACATAGTGGGATCCAGATACCACAAATTTATTAAAAATTAGAATCTGCACTTACACAGAAAAAAGGCACATCAACATGAAGGACACATCCAGAACGCGATGATGTCATGTGCGTGGCCATGTCCTGATCAGTTAAATCAAATAGGAAATGCCATATTTGACTAAACTGGTCAGGACAGAGCCACACACATGACGTCAATGTGTCCTTCATGTCAATGTGATATAGCACACGTTACCATAGACTTGAATAGAAGAAATTGACAAGCGTCAACACCTCTCAAACTCGACATGTAGGTTCATTTTTGTCACAAGGGATGCAAATGTTACGTTTTTCAATTGTGCTCTTTCAGCTGTCCGTATTTACCATTGCAGGCTGTTTTACTAGACATTTGAAGAAAACAAAAAAAAAAAAGCGTACCTCAAACACCTGTTTCTAATGCCAGTGTGAACGGGGTCTAAGCATGATTTTATTTTGTTTACACAATAAATGATTAACTTACTACAGTATGAGGGCTTTTCTGTGCCACTCTCTCTTTACTTTTTTCCAACATTATCTAGTATACATCACACTTGTTTTTCTGTAAGTAACTCATCCTTTCATTAGCAATAGCTTCTATGCTTCTATTGTATTTTCATCTGTTCATCTGTTGTTTTCCTTTACTCATTGTAATTTGTGCACTAGATAAATAGATTTTAATGAAAATTATACTTTACTAAATACATACATCAATGTGTATGTGTGTGTAATTTTTATTCTCTAACAATTCCCATAGCCCTGTATATTCTGCTTCCTAAGGAAGACAGCTAAACGTTTTCTGAAGATGTCGACACTCTCCACTAGTACCACTTACTGCAGGAGGTAGTTACTAATTTTTACTGCTCTAAAAGTAAAGAACCCTTTCCGCAATCTAAGATTAGACCTCCATTCCTGTAACCTCAAAATGTGTCTGCATGTCCTCTTCAGGGAACTCAGAGCGCATTTTGTTACAGTTGTTATAGTCCGTTTTGATTTATTTGTAGATTGTAACGATATCCCCTTATACGTCTCTTCTCCAGAGTGAATAACTGTAATCTATGTAATCTGTAATCTATGTGATCCTCATAGCTGAGGTCCTCCATCCCATTATTTTTGTTGCCCTTTGCTGAACTCTTTCTAATTCAGCATAGTCTTCCCTGGGGATTGGCAACCAAAACGTAACTGCATTTTGACAGTGGGGAGATTCTCCCCACTGTCAAAATACACAAATCAGCCCTGCAGCCCATTAGTTACAGTGCTAATCAAACTGAAATTTTCTAGCAGTCCTGTTCTTGAGAAGTTCATCAATAGAGCTTTAAGTTGGTCATACATGAATCAAAGGTTTACATTAGCTGCTAAAAAGTAGCTTCTGTCTTTTACACATTTGATGCCATTTGCCAGGGAAGACATTTGTGAATGTTAACCAACATATTGTGAATGCAGCATATACAGACTGGAAAAATGGCATGCATCTTTGCTTTAAAACTAAAGCTTCCCATCTATGTAAAGATAGTGCCATTGCATTTGGCCACAAAGTCAGGCAGACTTTTTTTCTTAGCATGTTTGGCCACCTCTGGATGGACAAGTAGATACAGTTTTCATGTAAGTGAATTTTCCATCTCTCCTGAATCACATGTAGCACTACCTCCTTATGAGTCGCTAGAAGATTTGTTTCCCACTATAATCCTGCACAGCAAAGCAACCCACACTTCCACATAGGCTTGCATCCAGAGTCAGAAATCAGTCCCTGAGCTTTGGTTTTGTTGTTTTATTTAAGGGATTGTAACTGGGATAGGGTTAGGGGTGTTCAGGATGCCCAAGGAAACTAATAAACTGAGGACAACTTCTTGCAACTATTTACAAGCCTTCTCTGCAGCACAGTCTTTGTTGGAGAGCTAGCCAGCGTCTCCTTAATGTACCACCCCAGACCCTAGATGAACTTCTCCTCTTCAACCAGCAATCTGGAGGTATCCCTGAACAGGAGATCCAGTATCTGTCACTTTAAGAGATGAACAGTCACTGGCTGTTAGCTAATCTGGTTTCCCACCAGAGTGCTCCTTCCCCTACCGCCCGGGGGTGCAGGTGTTCTCACTCAGATCCTCTCCTGTAACGCTGGTGGGTTGGTGGCTGCTACCAGGCCTATCAGCTGGGCCACTCCTTACCTGCCATACAGGTGGTCCTCTCTCATGGGGCTGTTGAGCTCTGAGCTTTCCTCCTTTCCAGCTTCAGGCCTGCAGGTAGGCCCCATCCCACTGCGCAAAATCATATATATATATATATATATATATATATATATATATACACGTGATTTTGCATTTCCGGGTAGGGGGTGCGTGTGAGGCCGCCGGCTGTCAATCACCGAGTCCCGGCCAGTGATTACTCGCTGGCGCCTGGTGATTGCCGAGTATCT